TTCTGTATCACATCAAAACCAGCCACTCTCTTGTTAACATGCAAGAAAACTGTAGTAAAAAGAAAGGCAGCCAGCTTACCAGCAGTATGACCCCTTTTAGGATGAGCTTAGATTCTACACCCACATTGAGGAGCTCAAGGCATAGCTTGTCAAACTTCTCAGGAGTAAGCTTATTTAGTATGCTAAAGAGGAACAAAGACAAATAAAAATCCAGATTATACATACTGTAAGCATGCTGCAAGTCATTTTAGACCCAAGTTTACCTTTACCCCTTAAGTCTATTAAACAAAGATAGAAAAGTGCTGTCTTTCATTCAACTATTTTTGGGGAGATCCTTAGACTGTAAAGTAGTATTGAAATGAATAATCAAATTACTCCAAGTGTTTGCTGCTGCTGGCCTATCAGTGTCTGCTTCCTTCCCTCCAAAGGATGTCACACGCCCACCACCCCCGTAACTCAAGACTCCTGCATCTTCCTTTCCTCCAGTCTGTTTATCAGAAATATATAGCTATATTGCTGAAGAAAACAGTAAGGAAAGAAAAAAGGTCAATCTTATGAAGAACTTACCCTCTTACTTTCCTGAAGATTGCATCATGTCGTTCTTTGTCATTTGCGGAGTCGTCATCTCGTCTAGTGCTTCGTGAAGGAATCCATTTCTGAGCGTTTTGCCCTGGGGTTTTCCCCAGGAACTCGCTGTAGTTTTTAAGAATAGGATTGTTAAACAGAAACGAACAATTTTAAGAACTGGCTTTTTAACCTTTCAGTGTCACCTTACTTAGGCTACTTCTGTTACTAGGTTTGTTAAAAACACTTACCCCTACACCAACACCACAACATCAGTTACACAGTATTCACTCAGTAATAATAAAAGACACTAAAGAAAATCCTTGAAATTTTTGACGTGAAATGCATGAGAAAGCCTGTGCATCTCATATCATAACACACACTTTTAAAAGATTAGATGCTCTCCTGCCACAGACTGGAGGACATTAGCATGAACTCAGTGTATTCCTTGCACGACTTCTAAGATGCTCCATTTTCAACTCAGTATTCCCCATCAAGCCACCTCTGCCCTCTCAACCTCAATTGAAGAACACAATGACATACACACCTGTTGCAGGCAGTCTTGGGATAGTGCTGAGGTGCACCCCTACCACCTCCTCCGCCTGAAGAAGCACTGTAAAAACCAACCATGTAACCCTGTGTAAGTTCACAACCTCAGTGCTTTCAATTACATGTCAGTTTTGGTATAAACAGAACACAAACTTAAATTGTCCTCCAAGGACAATTTCCATTGCCAAGTGCTCATCCATCAAACAAAAAGCATTAGTACCTGAAACGAGAAGCACCCCCTTCTGCAATCGCACTCTCCACTTTGGCGGCTTGACAACGAAGAATCTTCAAAAGAATAAAATTAAACTGACGGGGTGGGGAAAAACAAAACCTAGAAAGACAAATTAAGTATTCATATTATAGTTGTTTTACTAGCAGTCACGGTACGTAACTTACAATAACAGCACGAGTGTTTGTTAGAGAAGGGAAACTCTCCAGCACTTAAATATCACAAAAGGTTAAGGAAACTTATTCATGCAAGACTCGGGACACTCCCAGAAAGGCTAATTTCACCATTATAGCCATGTTTTCCAACAGGGGTGAGGGAGGAGAGATAAGAGAATCACGGAGAGAGCCTCAAATTTATCCTGCCAACCCCCCAAAACCACTTGCAGAAAAAGGTGTTTTGTGCTAGTAGAGCACAACTATATGAATCCTTTATTATTATACTTTACAAACTTTGATTTATTATGGCAAGACAAAATAGTCAAATTCCAAATTGAGAAGTACCAGACCACAAAATGCACGCTTAATCTTGTAAAAGTGATGCATTCCACATCCGAGCCCGAAAGGCCAATTAGGCCACTAAATAATTAAACAAATATCGCCCCTCCCCCTCCTCAAATTTGAGCTAGAAAAACAGCAGCAGTAAGAAAAATTTTCACGGCACTGCTCATGTAGCTGAAAGCTACTCAAGAGATAGAAACGCGTGGGGAGAACGTATAAAAAACCCCCCAAAACAGACATTTTGAGGCTCCATCACGGATCTGCTCGAGATACTCCAGTAGCGAGCACACAGTCACCTCCTCGGGAAGCCAGCC